GCAGGCCATGGTTTCCGCGATGACTTCTCATAGGACATTTTATGCAAACAGCTAGAACAGCTCTTTGATCTTTTGTTAATGTCAGCATCAATTTCCGGCCACCAGCATGTTAGGCGTGCTAATGATTTCATCTTAACAGCTCATAGATGAGCGGAATGTGTATCATCCAAAATCGCAGACCCTAATGTTAGAGGAATAATAATTCTGTTATTCAGATATAGGAATCCTTCAGGATGGACTGAAATCTCATTACTTCGCTTATAAATTTCTGGAAATCTTCGCTTACACTGAACATTCCAACCTCTTTTTGTTGCATTTATAACGCATCCGTAATATTTCCAAGTATCACTTAAAGGTTGAACTCGATCCACAGGTAACGGCTGGATTAACAAACAATCAGTCTCATTAGCAGAATTTTCAAATAATGAATAACGAGATAAGAAGTCTGCGTGAGGTACGTCTTAAGCCGATCTATGTTCAATAGTGCAATCATATGCACCTAGTTCTAAATTCCATCTTTAAACCATAGGAGCAGATGAACTGTCCAAAGATTTTCCTGGATTGTAAATGAATTTCAAAGCCTGATGATTAGCAATTATGTGAAACTTAATGCCAAAGAGATACTTGTGCAGGCGTCTTATTGCCCATACAACTGCTAGAGCCTCTCTCTGGGTTTGTGAGTACCCTTGTTCACTCTTACTAAGACGTCTTGAAATACAAATAACAGCTAGAGTAGTGCAACTTTGCTGTGGTAGACGACTGTTGAGTGTAAGGCGGTAGTCATCACAAATTATAGGTGCTTTACCATCAGCCTTTAGTGGCGTAACAATAGGAGTAGCCCAATTTGAAGACTCAGCTTACATAAGTATGCCTTGCTCAGCCAACTTGTCTAACTCTTTCCTAACTGCATCTCTGAATCCATATGGAATTAATCGGCGTTTCAGGAAGATAGGATCATTCTCCATTTCAAGATGGATGGGCTGAATCTTCATGCCACCTACACTCTTTGAACATTGGAGAACTAATCCTCTTAACAAAGATTCATCAGACAACTCGGTACAAAGTGAGATTTCGACATTTAACAATCCAAGGGCTTTTAATCCCAATAAAGATGGACCATATTCACTAACAAGAAAGGAGATATTTGCAAAATAACCCGTCTGATTTCAAAGAAATGTTAACAGCACCGATAAGAGGTAGTTTATGACCAGTTATGCCTGTGATTGAACTAGTAGTAGGGTGTCTCTGGACATTCTTACAAATCGATTGTAAATATTTCTTAGAAATTATAGATTCAGTACTCCTAGTATTAATTATAAAACAGTGAGACTTGCCTGAGCTTGTAGTGAAGGTTCTCATTAGATGAGACTGAGTATTGGGAAAATTTGAAAGAGACATTGACTGCATTTTACCAGGTAAAGTGGAAGAATTATCAGGATTCTGAGTTACATAAGCATTCGAACTTCTGCAAACAGTCTTGATGTGTCCAACTTTACCACATTTATGACACTTACCACTCCGAAAACGGCAAGTGCTTCGCAGATGAATCTTTCCGCAAAAAAAACACGGTTTAATGTTTTCGCTCCCTCTGCATTCTATTATATGTGGACGACAGTTTGGATTTCCTTCTGTGATCCCTTGTATTTTCGACTTTGGAAAGCATGACATCAGACGTTGTGTCCCACTTCAGTGCAAGAAATGTATCACAAATATACGCAGCATCAATAAAAACAGTCAGAGAGCCAAAATTCAATACATTAGCATCACTATTACTTCATCACTATTATTCGGTGCCACTTCACCGTTGGGTACTGCAAATATGTAGTGGGCAGCATTTATCGATCACCTTCATGTGGGGCAGACCATAACCAGGTACTGCTAAATACAATTTCAGCGACTCAAGACATGGGTTATGATCAAATTGTCATAGCTGGTGACTTCAATGCCCCATCTCTTAACTTGGTGTCGGGAAAAGCCCATGATAGATTTGATCGAAATCTGCTGCATACCATCAGGAAGGCTGGATTCACTGAAAATGTCAAGATGGATACTAGATGGGGCCCTGATGGGAAGTCTTCTAGACTGGATTACGTGCTCACTAGTGACCAGCTACTAGTGGAAAACGTTCAGATCACGACTCCCATAGGTAGTAGTGACCACGCGGTCATAGTATTCGACATAGTCCTCCGCGAGCGCTTACAGTGGGACAATACACAGCCCTATCTGTGTTATAACAAAGCCAACTACACCAAAATGCGAAGACTTCTGTCTGAAGCAAATTGGCCTAAAAAATGGACAGAGCTAACAGTAGAAGAACACTGGAGAGTGGTAAAGGAGATCATTCACCAGGCGGTCTCAGACACTGTTCCTTTAGTCTCACCAAAAGCTAGGAAGCAACGATCATGGCTGAAAAGAGGGACACAACGCCTTCTGCAGGCAAAGCGAAAAGCCTGGTTCGCGTGGCGACGATCGAAGAGTCAACCCGAATATGAAGTGTACCTTGAACTCAGGAATCGATGTAACATACGAGTCCGGAGCGATAGAAGGACATTTCAGGGAGACCTCGCCAATAAGCTTCTCGTGAACCCCAAAAGCCTATACAGGTTTATGGCCGAAAGAAAACCGACCAACCAGGGAGCATGCAATCTAGTGGGTTCTGATGGGAAATCTCTTACTAGTCTTGAAATGGCAGAGACATTCAGCCTAGCCTTTCACAGGCAACTAAATAGTAACGAGGATATTACCCCTACAGAACATCCAGATTACATCGCAAAACCAACACACGAAAACCTGCTGGGGACATTTCAAATTACCCCGGCTATGGTACTTGCAAAATTGGGAAGGTTGGCTTCGGGAAAGTCTCCAGGTTGTGATGGCATCAGACCATCTGTCCTGAAGCAGTGTTCAGAAAGTCTCTGTCAACCCCTAAGTGATCTGTTCCAACACTCCCTTGATGTAGGGAAACTTCCATGTGAATGGAAACGTGCAATCCTATCCCCTATCTTCAAGGGTGGTGACCGGCAGAATGTGACCAGTTACAGACCAGTTGCTCTACTTCCAGTGGTATCGAAGATATTGGAAAGTCTCATTGACGACCACATGAGAAAATACTTCGATGGGACTAACCTTCTTCACGAAGCACAGCACGGTTTCAGGAGGGGAAGATCCTGCGTGACGAATCTTCTACTAGCCTGGAACGATTGGACACTATCCTGGGACAAAAAGGTACCAGCCCACGTGATCTTTCTCGACTTTGCGAAAGCATTCGACACAGTTCACCATGGTCTGCTCCTTCACAAAATAGGCAAGGCGGGAGTTTCTGGAGCACTTCTCGCATGGCTGACAGATTACTTAGGCGAGAGAGAATTCTGCACCAAAGTCAACCGCATCCGATCATCCTGGCACACCTCGGCATCAGGGGTTCCTCAGGGTTCTATCCTAGGGCCGTTGATGTTTTTGATTTTTATCAATGACCTGGCCCCCCAACTAAACTGCTCTGCGCTTCTTTACGCTGACGACGTAAAGATTTGGAGAGCAATAAACTCATCGGAAGACTCAGATAGATTGCAGGCTGACCTGCAAACTCTGGGAAATTGGGCTTTGGCTAACGGAATGCCTTTCAATCTAAAGAAGTGCAAAGTAGTGCAGCTTCATTCCGGCAGGTCACAGAGTGTAAATTACACCCTTGGTGGCCAGAACTTGAGTTGTGTTCCATCAGAGCGTGATCTAGGTCTTATTCTAACAGAAAAGCTAGACACCAGTGGAAATTACTCGAGGGACGTCGCCAAAGCCTACGCAACATTACACTTTATGCACAGGCAGCTGGGAGCTCTCACTCCCGAACTGTTCTTAAGGCTATACAAGGCATATGTGAGGCCACACCTTGAGGTGCATAATATCATTGCACCTCCGCTACTCAAAAGGGATGCTAACATTCTAGAAAGTGTCCAGAGACGAGCGACAAAATGGGTGATCGGCCTCCGCAACAAATCATATGAGGAAAGACTAAAGAAATTAGGTCTTTTCACACTTAGTTACCGTAGGCACAGGGGAGACCTCATCACCGTCTACAAGATCCTAAATGACCAGGCCCACCCAAATAAAAGCATCCTGCCATTAAGCGATTATAGGCTTCCACGAGGTAACCCGCTAAGGATAGCACACCAGAGACCAAAGACTCGAGTGCGATCACATTTCTTTTCGCTTCGTGTTTGCCGTCTCTGGAACGCTTTACCGGCGGCCGTGACTACAGCGCCATCTCTGGAGATTTTTAAGCGGAAGCTAGACAATCATGCAGAAATGCAAGGTTTGTGTCTCAATGGCTTATCCTCATAAAATTTGAAACCAAACTGTCAATGAATAAGCGTACAAACTAAATCCCCACGACCTATTCTGCCTTCTCTCACTCTATCTTTTCCTTAGGTCACCTTTATTATTCCACTTATCTCAACCTATATTATCTACACTACAACCTATTATTATTATTATTATTACTATTCTGCTTTTATGACTACACCGAATGACCAACGGGAGTTAGGTCAAACTCCATTCACGGCAGCAATACAGTCCTAACATACTGCATACTACAAACCACATCTCGACCAATCCCCGCACCACTCCTCCTGGAGTCTACCAGAGCTAAAGCAGTCGAGTGTCGGGACTTACTACGCAGAAGCTCACCGAAGATCTGGAACCTCTACCTCACAATCAAGAAGCGAGCTCAAAGAAATCACTGGTTTATACTAGCTCGTAATCAGGATATTGGATATTGGATTACGCGGTAGTATTTTCAACCTGTAGTGAAAATGTCGTCATCTCTGAATTATGTATCTTGTGTTTGAGATATGATGATCCATCAGCATTGTCTAAGACCTTACAGTAACGCGTTTTCCGATATCATATACAATTTTAGATAAGCTATTATTTTCTGTGTGAATTATTTTGTATTATGTTATGAGTAGGATGTTTTATGAGACGTTGAACTGTTCGATGTTCAAGTGTAATTTGTTGTTACTTAGTAGAAATACTGAAAAAACATCGCCCAAAAAACCCGAAATTTGATGTCTTACCCTATGATTTTTTAAGGATATTTTGTTTTGATGAACCAATTTCAGTTGCAGGCGCAGGTTATCAATTTGTACTTTTGACCTTAGCACTTAGTTTGCGTGTAGAGGGATACTTAATTTTACCAACGATGAAATCGACAATTTAGTAAGTGTTTAATAAGTTCCGCCACTTAAGTTACTATGCTGGTTCATCCAATAAGTTTAACTACTACTCGTGAATTGTATTTCATGTTACTGCAAGTATGTATGTTGCTACTTATCACGCACTTAAACTTGGAAATACATTTCTACCAGTAGATTTGTGTCGTTTTAATTTAACGTCTAGTAGTTATGGATATGCGGCAAGTTATACGGATGGATGGGAATTTTTCTGCTGTGGTTGATTTCAGTACTACTATGTAGTCAAAAGGACTGTAAACCCTCCTCTCGGAAAGCATGTGTTCAGCAACAGCCTGAAAATGCTGGGATTTGAATAAAGTGTAGCTCTGTGGTCAAGTGTTTCAAATCTTGGGTATCAGTGCACCAATCTCTTGATTTTCTGCCGGGAATTAAATTAATTAAAGTAGTAGTGATGCTAAGACACAGTGACATACGTTGTTTATAAAGTATTTTGCGATGCCTTTTACGTGTGAAAAAGCGAAGAGGAATTTCAAGCTGCACAAATCCACTTTGCTGAGTCTAATAACTGTATTCTGCGAGATAATAATTGTGGAAGCTTCAAGATAGTCTTAAATAACTCATTGGTGTACTGGCTTATTAAAAAGAACTCATTTTCCTTACTGCGATTAATTTTTTTTACCTTATAACACTAAGAGTATTTTAGGTACGTTTATGAATTCTTTGAACATCTGAATGAATTCACATGCAATAAATTTGAAAAGGTGTTTTTATGAAAAGAATTCAGGTTCAAATATATGTTTCACTGTCAGCATATGCACTGTTTAAACGCCCTCATGTCATATTTTGACTTATTGCAGTTTTTATGGCGCATTTATATCGTGAAATTTTATTTGACAAAAGAGCCTAAATTTAGAACTTAGCATACTACTTATTCGTTCTAGACCTTACCTCGGTTCATGCTCGTTTGTACTTAAACATTAGTTACTTAAAACTCAGTTTTCTTATGTACTAGGTTACTGATCACTATTATGTATTAGCGCTGACGATTCTATCCAGTAATCCATCTTACAGTGAGAGGGTAGAGATATTGGAAATACCCACGCTTCCCTTCTTCATACAGACTAGAAAGCTGTTGGAAGTAGTAAAAAGGTGGTATTAGCAGCATAGCTGAGTATAGTTGAGGACTCCAAGACTAATAGGTTGAAGGCAAAAGTGATCTCAATTTAATATAACTAAATGGAAAATGAATTGTGAATGTATCTGTGCCCCTCTGGCTTTTTTAACTTATATCACTCATGGTCTAACCATCAAGTTTGGTGTTGACTTAAGCTTTATCCAGACTGTCATATCTTCTTTATTCCTCTTATGCTAAGGATCAATGACAGCATGGATTGGCAGTGATTTAACTGTTCTTCAATTTTTAAAACCTAATCCTATTCCATTTGGTATGAAAAGTTTTAGTGACTGTATTTTACAGCCACTCAGTAAGGATGCGCGTACCACTACTAATAATGCCTGATACGTAATAAGTATTGAATTGTCGGTTTTAAAGAGTTCACCAGAATTCCTCTGGAATTTTCAGTGCATTCAAAAGAACTTAACGAATAGTCATTAGGCAATCTTTCAATTTATTTTAAGCTCCGAGTGAAGGAGTTTCATATTAATTCGGTAAATCTTCCCAAGTAGTTTAAGTTTATTAGTGCGTTTCCAAGGTTGCCTAAAGCCCATTTCACACACGTTATTTCAAACTCACTAGTCATTTCACTGACTTAAGAATGTGAAGGTTCAGTAGGCTTTTGTGAATAACCTGTTTGTCTTGATAACTTTCGTTAATGACCAATAAGATTCTTATCAGATCTGTTTCACAGATTAGAAAAAGGTTATCAGCTCTTTCTTGAAAGGCTAATTCCTAAAACTGATCACATTATGAGACAAAATGTCAGCCATACTACTCTCAAGAACCATGCCACCCACATTTGCAAATAGTACTTATATAGGCAATATATATATATATATATATATATATATATATATATATATATATATATATGTATATATATATATATATATATATATATGTATATATATATATATATATAAATTAGTGATAACTGTAGACTGCGAAATGACTACAGAAATGTTTTTGTAAAGAAACCATTATGCAATAACGAAAGCGTGACTCTTGAAAGTCAATTGTATTTTTAGGCAGGTTTTTCAGTTGCTAAAGGAATAAAAGTTACTTTCTAGGGGGTATTTGTACTTAACCATCCTTGTTAGTATCAGCCGAATTATTCCCTTAACTCTTACAGCCCTACAGTATGCTCTTATAAAAATAACTACACAAACTCTACACTTGTTCCTACAGATGGGTGAAGATTCACACGTTTAAATTCTACAGTAGTTTAAGGTGTGAATTCTGTTTAACATCTTTAAGGCGTATTAATCTTATTACGTAGTTTTATCTGTTCAAGAAACTTAAAAGTCTCAGTCCGTCCATTTAATGAAATAAAAATTACTTAGTTTATATAAAGATTCACTTGTCATTATTAACGGTGCTGTCGGGAGAATACCCAAGTTTACAGTAAGTTAGTTTGGAACACATGCTTAAATCGCACATTTAATTTGTTGCGAATTAGTAACAAGGTACAAGCCTACATACTAATCAGTAATGCAACCTGTTATCTACTTCATTTTGAGACTCTGGCATATACTGGAGGACTTCTTGATGATTTTGAATTGGCTAGGCCCCCCTCATATAAATTAATTACTAAGTTTGTCTGATTTGATCGGACAACTTGTTTTAGATTCTGTATTCTGGTTCATTTAATGAGTCGGTGCTTAACCCTTGCCTTAGTGGCACTGACGTAAAATGTCTAAAGCATTATTTATCAACAAATTCTTACTAATTCTTGATCCTGTACAAGGCACTGTGGTGTACAGGTAAAGACGAATGAAATGCCTGTTGTAAAACACATTATTCTGTCTTCAAATACTGTAGGTAACGAGAAGTGAAGTGCCATAAATTATTTAACACATTAATAGGTAAACCCGAAGTTATGACAAATAAAAGTGGAGGTCTGTTAGGTTTGGTTGGTATACTTAGGGAAGCATAGACAACAAACACTTCTAATTTATAAAATATGTCATTTTTTCAGCCTATAAATTTTATGTCTCACTCCCTTTACGCGCATTAGTGTTTAATTATGCTTAACAATATTTTAAGCTTCAATACATTAAGGGAGTATGAATTTATTTTGGCCCGATGGTATGTGATTACTTCTTGTGATAATTACGACTGTTAGAAATCTGCAGGACGTAGGATAGCAAAGACTGCAACATTATGCTGAAGGCAATGAATTCGAAGTGATTCAATTGTCAGTGTTGTTAAATATATAGTATGAAAGTCAGTTTCAATAGAAGCCTGATATGGGTGAACAAAATATTCTTATGAGCACTTGGATAGAGATAACTGGGTTGCGTAACATGGTCTTTCCATCAGAGCTCTAAAATATAAACCAATGAATTCAAGTGTTTGGAAATATTAGCATCATGATAACACTGAATATACTATACTGACTAATTGTTTATGAAACATGATATAGCAATATTATATTAAAAAGATTATTGATATTTGTCTGGATAGGCTACCGAGTCACGAAAAATGTAAAAACATTCATTAGTAATACATTAATTATGACAATAGAGAATATGCAAATGACGAAAATCGCATGACTACCTGTAATGCAGAAATTAGCAGAAAATACTAAATGTAAACATTGACAGTTTGCGGATAATATCTATCATTAAATGGGTGATTGAGATATGATAGACAAAAAAGAATAGTTGTAACCTGAGTGAATAATCAAATAGTATTTTCAATGACTATTAGGGCATAACGTCTGAGCCAGTCAATTCTTCTTCAAGATCGAGTAACTCTTACTGACTTTCCGTGATATGTCACTGATCCTAATAGTTGAGAGTATGTTTTCGTTGCTGAGGCGTTCACTATCATTTTGTGTGTTACTATCATTCTAACTCCACTACCAATGATGACATCTGTCCTATTGAGTTGCAATATTGTAATAATTGTCATTTCTCTCTAGATCTCTCTATGGGTCGTCATACTATAATTCAGTCAGATAAATCATGAGCGCCTTTTGTCAGCTGTGATGAGATGCATGACAACAACTGCCTTTGACGATGTTGAGGGATTGATACTTTTAACTTATCCACATATTTCTTCAATAGCTCGATTTAAAAAACTGTATCGGATGGAACTTGATTATCTTAGTTGAAAATTTATTGTGGTAGTCGTAACATTTTCACTGACTATCCGGTAACTATCCAGTATCCGGTTCCTTACTTTAAAGTAATTCTTATCTCTAGTAGTGTTGATAAGAGTTTATTTGATCAGTTCCTGTTTGTCAGGATAGCAACAAGAGCTACATTAAGTAACTTGTGTAATCGCTTGACCGTGCCGTTTGAATTAAAGTAGGGTTATGTATGAATGAATAAAGTATTTGTAGAGATGTTCTGGCACACCCTACAAAATTAGGTGGGTTGCACACCAATCTCAAGAACTGAGTCAAAAAATGCTACTGAGCAATGTTTCTGTTAGTCTATTCGTGAGTAAGAAGTGCTGGTTATGTAGAAATCCAATTCATACTGATGATTTTTCTATGTACAATGTTTAATCCATTATTGTCAAAATCATGGTCCTGATTTTATAATACACTGTGACTACATAACTTGAATTGATGCCTTATTGTGAAATTCCCCTTACTTTCATTTTTCCTCAAGCCTACCAGGGACGGAATTATGCTAGTGCTTATGTAGATACTCGCTTCTGTTTAGCGAATACGAATAGTCATTACAGTTGTTTAAATTGTTATCTTTCAATATTCCTTTAGAAACTAGATATATGTCAATGAAAACTGACAATGGAAAGCAGAAAGTACTTCATTGCCCGTTTTATCTGACATTAGTTTCACAATTTACTTGTGAAAAAAGATATTCTAAAGCTTGAACAACAATCAGTTATCAGACAGTCGTTTAAACGACACTAGTAGCAAATGTTTCATATATAGTTCACTAGGACGACAATCAATATATTGCTAATGTAGATAAGTATACCGTGTTGACTGATATCACCTATTAGGTTGTCCAGTGAGACCAATTAGTCACTTGTCACTGACACGTGCTTGAAAATGCGCATGTAACTCTGATTTTTTATTCTAATTTATTTTGCAAATTATTTCGAAACGTCTCCAGTTCCTTCATTCCACAGTATAACTAGATATATTTTCTAAGTAGGTACATTATAAAGTCAGATGGTCAGTTATTCCCATCAGTAGTCGAGTTACCTGCTGTGAAAGTATGCTATATACCTCTATTTTCATGGAATCAGGAATTTAGTGTTCCTTTCAAGATCTTGAGTTGGTCAATATTTTTATTTTCACGAAGACTTGTGTCAAGATATGATCAGTTAAATGTAAACAAGTAATTCTGTGTAAAGTTATTCATTCTAATACTAATGCCTCAAAGTGATTGTGTGATTGAAATTTGCACTGATGGTAATCTTTTGTTAAATCACATTCTACTTTCGACAAATAACAAACTAGACGATATAAAAGAATATAATTTGGGCTGTGTGGCAGATTATAGTTACATAATAGGATAATTTTACTTCATAAATAACACAATAATACAGTATTATTTATTGGTGACGATATCATGATAAGCGATAAGTTGCGCTTGTAACGTCATCAATTAACAGCACTGCATTACTGTGTTGTATGTAATAAATCTATTCTGTTGTGGAATGGGAGAGTTTGGTTGGTTTTGTTTTTGTTTTTTGTCTAGTGTCTGTAACTGAAATATACCTGGCCGATTACTTTGAAGTGTTAGTGAGTCCTTAATTCACTGCTGTAAGATGTCTGACTAGGTTTGAATGACATTGGTTGACCTTAAGTCTTTTTTTTGTAGTCTTTTTGATTAGCTATATAAGTTCTAGTCTGATTAGACAACCTTAAAAGACTTATTATCCACATGCAGATTCATTCACAAGGCATTGAATGAACCACACCTACGATAGGTGTGGTTTCGCTACACATACCTAATAGTTTACGTTACAGTCTAGTATGATCTAAATTTGTCCAGTTAATCTCCAGAATTGTTTACTGTTGATTAAATCATTAAAGTAGGTCACATATATCAAGCAGTAAATTTACTTCTTGTTACTTGTTGCAAAAGCTTTCTTGTGGAATTTACTACCGACAATGATATGTTTTAATTAGGAAGGGCGTGTTTATGCTTGAAGCATCTGTCAGTGGTATTCTCTGGACTTCTGTTGGTTGGTGTTTCTTTTTCTATGTAAACATATCTTGTTCCACTAAGGCTTATTGAGTTTCATTTGTGCATAATTTTGTTACCTTCATGCTTCATATGATGGACAATATGTCTTAATTTTAAAAAGTTTTGTCAGACATTTAGTACCATGAAGATAGATTTGTATTTGTCTTTTTTTTTAACTTCGTACCTATCTGACTGATCAGTAATTATCTTCACTAAAGAGGTAGTCATTTAACACCCTAAGATGTATTTTTGCTCACATAATGGTATAAGTAAATATGGCTTACAGATTGATACTAGTAGAATATACATGTATGTATACTGACCAACCGTTTTGTCAAACGCATAGTTAGTGATGCAGCTGTCATCTCAAATAGCCGTAAATTTTGATTCGCACTTTATCTTTTTTTGTAATCCATCAGTTAAGTATATCTGCACTCCAATGATTGCATTCCTACTTAAACTGTAGACAGTCTCTTCCAACTTCATAGCATTATATACTAATTATAACTTTGATAGTCAGGTGGGAGTTTCAATACTGAAATCATTCTTGTTTCAAAATAAGAAATGTATACAGCTTTATATAATTCTATCAGTGGCTGAAAGGTTTTAACATCAATGCTGTTGGCTTCACACTGAATGCCGACGTGAGCTATACTGGAACAACTACTTGACCTACTGTAGCAAAAATGGATTCAAACTGTGCCCTAATCAGTTGAATGTAGACAAGGAAGCAGCTACGCATATCTTTTCAAATTAAATGCGCCTGAAAACTTAGTAGTTAAGCATGGATCAGTTTGACTAAGATACACTATGTATTATGTCCCATGTTGGGCAATTTCTGAAAGGCATAGTTATCTGTGTTGTTATTTTTAATATTTAGCTATTTACTTACAGTTGTTACAATATTTTATGACTCCTAAAACTATTGTGCATTTCAAACTATGTATGACATTAAAAATCAATTAAGTAAAGATAGTGTTACATGTAAATGAAGTCCAAAGTGTGAACGATTCCTCTAGCTGAAATTCGATCATAAAGCCATCTGGATTCTAACTTAATGCTTCCAGTGCTACTTTATTTTTATTTATTTATTTTTTTTATTACAGCTTGATTCCACATTGTATTTTTGGTACAAGTATGGAATTTTCAGCATGTGATATCGGTAGCCCAAATTTTGCAGGCTGACCATAGATATCGAGTGTGCGTCGGCAGGGGATCGAACCTCGGACCATGTGCATGGTTGGCGAGAGTCCTAACCACTGTGCCACCGACGCACACTTGTGTACCATAAAGATTTGAAAGTTATGGATTCAGTCCAGGACCTGATCAAAATTTTGGTGGGTGGACGTGATTTTCACTACATAATAGTCTTTGCTCATTCTCTAGGTGTTAATAAATCATGGTTTAGTTATTTCATGACTCCATTCTTACAATTCGCATGGCATAATGTATCTACATTTCGTTTATTTTAACCAGACAAGTGCTCCAGTAAAAAGACAAATAAAGAGAAATGATATAAACGTAAGCATAGTTTGAAACCCCACAGTTTTGATCATGTTGAAAAAGAAGTCGACAATAGGAACAACTCGGACACGAAAATTATTATTCTTGTTCCCTTGAGTTTTTAGTGGAACATAGGGATTCAACTGCATGTCTCTACTTGCTTCTGTCTTCTACTGTACTTTTCACCTGCATCCATCCATATTAGTCCATACTGTTTCAAATCCTCTTCACACGATCTCCTCCATGTCACTCTTGCACTGACTTCCCACTCGCCGCCGCTTCCCTTTCGGCCTGGTTCCACTCGAGCAATGGCCTGACGCGTGCACGATGTCACCCAGCGGCGGCCTCCTCAGCGAGCGAGTGTCCAATCCATCTCCACTTTCTCCTGCATATATGTTGGTTGGCGATTGGTTCTTGTTTTGTTTGTTTGTTTGTTCCCATAGTTTCTTGTCGGTGATTCTTCCCGGCCCGGCCATCTGATCTTCAGTATAGAGAGAAGACAGACAGTTGTTGATAAAGGTCTGCAATAGTCTGTTGGAAATATTCTTTGTGACCCACTCGCCAAGTTTCTGATCCGTATAGAAGTCGAGTTATATACCACTAAGCTATTTTTATTTACTCTATTTCCACTCTGTAATATTTTAGACCACATTAATAAGCTATGTAATGCTGAGGTTATAGAAGATCAAACGGAGGAGAATGTCTGACACAGCATGAGACTTGTGTTTGTGGGATGAGACTTTTAGATTTGAAATAAAAACGTGGTTAAAACTGAAATTCAGAGAAGAGGCTATCAGACGTAAATTACTGTCCACCAATTTTATCTAACAGCCAGCTCTCACCACTGTATGATCTAATAGTAGGTGAATTCATGCAATCAAAAATGTCCCAAACTTGCTGAAATATACAGTATGTATGCGTTTGAGATAAGCCAAATTGCCAAGGTCATCATAATCTTACTCATGCGACTTCCTCTTCCTGTAGATTTCAAACCAATGCCTGGTTGTTAATTTGATCATATTTCTCCCTCTGACTGACACAGCAACTTAGTAATTTATTTTGACGTCAAATTCGAATCGGTACTTGTAACATCCGTCTAAGATAAATCATTTCGTGCAGATCGATACATCCCTTAAATACACTTTGAAAGTTGAATTTGATTTAACTAATAAGTCCTTGCAATTAAAGATGACCCTAAACCTTTCCTTTTTTAATTTTAGCATCAACATACAGTATTTAATTTAGAAAACTTGAGATGAGTTGATTCTATGAAACTGAGCATTTTTTTATTTATTTGGAATTACTGTGTAATTATTACTTTCAGTGGCATTTTGCACCTCGGTAGTAACGATAACGACAACAACAAGAGTGATTATATGCCGTCTGTTAGTCATCTGTGTAATGTGAAATAAAGCAAAAGTATTTCTTAATTATAACAATCACCATACTTTGTAAAAGCTACTACTATTCATGGATCCAGTTCATTTTATTAATGAATTCCATCGATTAAATTTAACAACAAGAATACCAAATTATGGTTACATTTATTACGCTGGTCTTTATTCCTCGAATTCATTTATTCTAGAAATTATACTCTCCTTAATATGTGTCGGTGGTATCACGTCAAATATACTTTTATTTCTTGCTCATATATGTGCGATACTGTATGGCAAAAAACATCTGTATCAAGTGCTTTCTCCAATATATCTACAAAAAGTGTATAAATGCCCTTTATATCGTCGATGCATGCGTTGGTCATATTCAGCAGTGTGTAAATGGCCATTATCGTGTATTACATCACGAGTTGTTTCGTGCATACAATGCTTATTGTGTAATATATGCAAAAGGAATATCAATATGACATCAATGAAATCAACAGCAACATCAACATCAATTCCTTCAGTTAACAATAATAATAATAATATCTCTCAAAGCACATTAATTCAATTACCAACAGATAACAGTGTGCTAAATTGTAGTAGTAATAATAGTGATAATAACATTATGATTGATATGAAATCTGAAGTGCTTTGGCCCGGTGTTTCAATTTTGAAACCTTTATCTGGTAAAGATCCAAATCTAGAAAAGAATTTGTTATCATTTTTTGAAATGGATTATCCTACATATGAATTATTATTTTGTATATCAGATAAAGAAGATCCAGCTTATGAACTTGTTGAAAGATTGATTACACAACATCCACACATTGATGCACAACTCATTTTAGCTAAAGATCTATTTGGTATCAATCCAAAGATTATTAATTTACAAGCTGGTTACGAGGCTTCAAAGTATTCCCTACTGTTAATATCAGATTCAGGTTTATGGATGCGTTCAGATACACTGATGGATATGGTATCATCGTTAGAAGAGGATCCAAAAATTGGTCTAATTCATCAAGTGCCTTACATGAAACCATACAGTGGAGTTTTATCGTGTACAGAAGATGAAATAAATATTTTATCCATTCAACATTATCCTAAACATATCAGCTTTAATGATATTGATGAAGGTGAATATGAAAGGACAGTGAGGAATAGAACAACACCGACAAATCTGGAATATGTACCTACAATCTGTGAACAACCATCATTTACATGGGTTGTACAGTTAGTTTTCTTTTCATGCTGGCATGCAAAAATTTACCTAGTTGCTTCATTTTTGAATATGAACTGTGTAACTGGTATGTCATGTCTATTGCGTAAGTGTTTATTAGACGATTCTGATGGTTTTAGAAAATTTGGTTATTATCTTGCTGAAGATTACTTTATTTCAAAGCATATAAGTAGTCGTGGTTGGAAGATATCTTTATCTCATCAACCCGCATGGCAAAACTCACCATCGCCCTGTTTGTACCAATTCTATATGAGAATATTACGTTGGTCTCAGTTACGAATGAGTATGGTGTTTTTGGCCTTCTTATTTGAACCATTCACAAGATGCCTACCAAATGCTTTATTGGGAGCATTTTCATTTGCTTACATTCTCCCGAACTTTATTGATCCAGGCGTGTACTTTTTGTGTTATATTCTTGTATGGTTTTTATTAGATTATGTATTATTGCGTCAAATTTATCCACCGGAAACTCCAATATGTATTACAAAATTAGAATACCTTGTAGCTTGGTTATTTTCTGAAATAGTGGCTTTTCCACTGCATTTAACCGCAGCATGTTTTCGTGAAGTAAGGTGGAGAGATAAACGATTTCGTATACACTGGGGTGGTATCTCTGAACGAAGTGATCAACCAAACACTATATAGAATAAAGAAAAAAACAACAAACAAAATATTGCAGTTTTACTGTAAAAGAATTAAAATTAACGTAATTCTATTGTAGATTATGCAATCATGTATCTATTTGTCTATGTGTTCAGGTGTTCTTGTGAATAATAAACTCTTCCGTGTATCATTTATCTCTGTTACATAACTACTACTTAGTGTACATGTGGTCTTTCCTATTTGCAGTGATATAGTTTTTTTTATACTACTTTTACTGATGTCACTTTTTCTTATCTTATCTCTTTCTGCTTATTGTCGATAATCATGGTGGTTATTATTCCTATTATTAGATCAGAACAAGAGGTTGTAAATATACAAATATATATATGCGTATTATTATTATTATTCCTGTGCCATTGCTATTGTTTTTGATTATCACTATCTAGAAGAAAGTGATTCAGTTGGACCGTTGACTCCTAAATTAATTTAGATAATCTTAGATATTACTTTGCTACTCTATGTACACAATATTAACCATGGATCACGGCTTAATACACAAAACTGTATGAAATGTACTCACTTATCATCTTTTATTCACACCAGAAATATTAGCAATAGTTCAGTTAATATAATTAATTCAGTGAAATAAAAAGTGCATCAAACTTAGTGCTTTAGTTGAATAGCTCCGTAATAACGTCTATGACTTCATATTTAACGCAGTTTCTAAACAGATAGTCTTTCTGTGAGGCCTAGATAGTAGTTATGTAAGAAAATTAATGAAGCAAATCTGTTCACTTATAGGAGGATCATACTCACTGATGGACCAAAGTAATCTCATCATTGCATAAACAAAATGACTATACAAATGATTCTTTTGATAAATTTAGGTACAGCAAGTTGGAACGAGTTTGTACTGCGAAATAATATCATATCATTCCACAGCTTCCAACTACCACCAACTACAGTGTTTACAAAAGAAGAAAGATAATAACACATATTAACGTTTCAAACGACAGAAAATAAAGTGTTTCGCATTAGGAATAGAGAAATTCAAAGGAACATAATAGTAAAAATTGAAATCATCAACCTAAAGTATTGTCATGAATATGCATTAACTAACAGAAGGTGCAAAAGCAGAAATGAAAGATGAGAGAAACACAAGAAGTGTTCATTTTGAAGATTATGCAACGGAAGATAGGCCTGAGTTCATAAGACTGACTATCAAACGACTGAAATGCATTATTCACATCATAACTAGTAAAAAAAAATGCGTCATCACCGTATGTTTAACAACAGACTGCTTCTTGGATTACAAATCTCATGTAAATCTTTTCAAAGCAACCAGTGGAAATACTAGATAAGATATATCTTAGTGATGAACGTATAATAACTCCATTAATTTGTTAATAAGCCTAGATTTTAAATCGAAAATAAATATCAGTTGTTCTTTGAAATAGGAACTATTTTTTCCTCCTTCTTGTGATGGCAATAGATCTGTCTTCTGAGAATCTGGATAACTGGTATACTCATTAACAAAACAGTCACATCATATGGAAAAATACATTTATCTGATATGTTCATGTAGTCTAGATCTTGGAGATATTGCAGAATATCCTTTGTATTATAGAAGACAAACTTGTTTTGAAAATTTTCCAAATAACAGACCAACATAATTGCGTAACCCTTCATTCAGCTGAGTTCAAACTTGCCTGCTGAAGTTCCTCGTTATGTAGTCTTCACAACGAATACTGATCATTTTCTCCATATTCCTTTCCCATTTTCTAACCTTTTATTAAGTAATGCATAATGATTGACAGTGGTTTGAGTTGGAGATTTTTCGTTTTCCTGTATTTCTGATACCTTAATTCGAAACATTTTCTTCGTTGTCATTTGAATCGTTAAAGTGTGTTATTTTTATCCTTTTTAAGGTCATTGCAATTATAGACATTCAGGTGATTTGGTGTCTTGCTTCGTTGGGAAGTGATCAAGCCGTCGAAATCCCGAGTTATTTCATACGAAATATAAACAGTAAAGGCGGTGACAGTAAAATATAGCACTTTGTTTTCAGTAAAGTATTGCTATGAAGAAGTCATTTGAGACTAGACACAGGACATCATTGACACTGAACTGGTTGGAAATATAATTCAGTCACTTGGTGTAGTGTAAACATTTCCGCAAAATAAATGTCCTAGGTGTAACTTATTCTTTTCTTATAGGTGTTGTATTTTGCGAATTAATGGAAGGTGGAAGACTGATGCTTAACTTTGTGACTCGGTGGTTTTGGTCTCTGTCCCTTATGAGGTCAAGATAGATTTATCTGGAGGTCGATCGTTTTCACCGACTGTTCAGCCTGCATAGAAGTACTTGTTCGATGAACAGATTTTTATTCAAAATAGATTATCTTCTTTTGTCTGTTTTCGGATAACTTCACTCAATAGTTGTCTAGACCTACTGAGTCAGTTTGAACACAAGTGACTCATCATAGTTATTCATCGATCAAGCAATTCTAACAAGATGATACATTAATTAAGTATTTAGGAAAATATGAGTCTGTGTGCGAAACCTAGTCTAGATTGGAAGCCATAAACAATTCCAAGGACCCATAAAAGCGTTTATTTGACATCCGTTTCAACTTCATTCATTGAATACAACTTTCAGGGTTAGAACTTTTCTGTTAGGGAAGCTGATAACAAGACGCTTCAGATGAATTCAAATATTTAGACTTTTGTAGATAATGTATGAAACACATTCATCAGACATGTCAACAAAATTAACTGAGCTAACATTTAATGCCATATCATTAGTTGAATTTGGATTAGGCGAAAGTGAGTATTCGAAATCATGCTTCGTTTCTCGTAATCCTATATAGTACACTATGGAAAGATATACTTATCTATTAATAGCCTGTGCAGAAAACGGATATTCTTACCACTCTGTATTATTTATGTTAGTTAAAATGAAATAAATGTATTATACACTAGACTAAGTAATTATGACTGATTTGTAGTCTCTTCCGTAGAACGTTGAAAGATGGACATCGATAACAAGTCACTAACTCCTAGTCTACAATGAGTTTGGAGATGCCCTGAAAATCCGAAGATAATTGACATTCAATCACTTTACTTTACTTTGAAAGCTATCTCTACCGCGATTACCTTATTAAGCGTTTATTTATGTATGTGCATGTTGGGTAGATGATAGTTTTCTAAATAAGCACACTTATCCACAACTTAGATGTTTTAAAAAAAAACTAGACACGAAATTAGTAGAAATTTGTTGCTTGATAAAGAAGGTGGTTATGATTGTTCATTCTGACTGGCTGAAATTTAGGCTCAAATACCGAAGTTCTGGGGTGTCACTCTGATTGCAGCCTTAAGTGACGTGAGTGCAAGGTTTTATGCGGACTGGTAGTGATAATCCAGAAACCTACGTTTGGAGCTTCCTGTTTACCATCTTTGTATCGAGTCTCTTAGTTTACAACATGGTCTCAGGGCAAACTTGACCGATAGAATTCGGTTGTATATATATATATATATATATATATATATATATATATATATATATGATTTCAACTCAAAATATACTTCTCTTCTTATTTGTCGTAAACATAATTAAGAATAACGTACAACTGTTGGTGCCGTTATCTTATAATGCGCTTTTTCGACTCTACAGAATTAAGTACTCTTCTCGTTCTAATGTGGGCTTTATAAGTTCAGCTTTTCGGTAGAAAATAACAGAATGCCTAGAGTATGACTAACATGAGCCAAAATGCAAAAATATATCACAGCAGATTTCTATTAGCTTTTCTCAGATGCCTCGAAACCTCATAATACTGCTCAAAATAGCTTACTTCCAATGGAAAAATAGTTTACAAGGTTAGTGATAAAATTATTCGCGTAGAAAATTGTCACTCCTTTATAAAGGTTTTAAAATTTTCAAGTGTTTTTTTTTATCAACGAAACTAATCGTATTGGGATTCGTTCAGTAATGATGTCAGTGGTACGAACAGCAGATTACAAATATTTTACGGGAAATGTAAGCTGGCAGTGGCATACTAAGCTGCACACGTATACAAGTTAGTAGCGTCATCTACCTGCGTGAACCAAGAGAAGCTAAAGCACAACACTGATTGACAAGTGAGTATCTACACACACTGATGAATTCACAGCTTCACATAATGTGATCGTTGCCCTTTTAGCTTTTATACTTTTGAAGTTGATTTTAAGTTATTGAAATACTTTTAAAATTTTAAGAGTAATTTTTAAAAATCTTATGTTTAAATGCACTTGAAGACATTTGATGTTGTTTTTTTTTAATTATTATTATCATCATTATTAATATTTCTGTTTGTTAAAAAAGAACAATACACTGTTGTTTCAGTGTTAACATAGCAACTTTAGTATTATTTTGTTTGTTTACTGCAACTACCCTCATAATATTTATTCATCTGACCCTCAAAATTATCCAGTATAATCTATTGTAAAAATACGGGACTGAAGTATGTGTGTGTTAACTCAGTCCTTCTGGATAGGTAGATATATATATGTACATAAAAAGTTATTCACTTCTCTAGTAAATGACATAGTGTTTAGGAGAAAAAAGAACCTATTTATTCCTTCTTTTTTTCTCTATGGATATCCCAATTTGTGTTTTATTTTCTGTTGCTGCTATTTTCTTCACTCACCAACTGAAAGCCACATTCATTGTTTGTTTTTTTTATTCTTACAAGTTAATACGTAGTTAGCAGCTAGCTGCATCATATTTAAAGAGGAAGGCGATGATCAAAGGGTTCAAATTGTGTTTACTTCAAATTCATTAGGGGGAATTCGTTGGTGAAAGGTTGGTTATTTCAGTGCTTCTGCTTCTGCCCTCTGCGTTCAAGGTCATTTGGATGAAGTTTCCGGTATCTTATTCAGTTCATCTTTAGGTAGCAGTTGATGACTACACAGAATGTTATAGTTCAGGGCTTTAGAGGGCCACTAATTTATTATTAACTGGTTGTATCCTACCTCAGCTTTATAACAGCTGACTGAAAGTTTTATACATCTTCTTTAAGTCTAGAATAGTGGTATTTATCAGGCAAAGTGAATACTTAGCTTTTATTTGGTACAACTGCTTGTAAAGCATGAAAAACAAACATTATGGGATGAAATGAATTCACTTTGTCTTATTTCACTGTCATATACAAATAATTTGTTGATTTCATTTTAAACTAGCATACTTTAACTGGAGAAGGTGTGGAAAGAGGGCAAAGTACCTGAGGATTAGAAGAAAAGATACTTATTCAAACTACCAAAGAAAGGAGACTTAAGTCAATGCAAAAACTGGCGCGGAATTATGCTCCTGTCCATCCCAAGCAAAATACTAACCCGCATCATCCTGGAGAGAATCAAACACGTCACCCTGGATGAAAAACTTCGACCGGAACAAGCTGCATTGAGGAGAAACAAGTCATGTATTGATCAAATCGCCACTCTACGGATCATCATTGAACAAAGTTTGGAATGGAAGTTACCTCTCTATCTCAACTTCATCGACTTTGAAGAGGCCTTCGACAGCGCCGGGCAAGAGGTGATTTAGCAACTACTCCGCTACTGC